AGCATCATAGTCATCAACATCGTCAGCATCATCATAACCATCAGCATCATCATCAGCATCACCATCAGAAACATCAGTATCATCATCCTCATAAGCAGCAGCATCATCGTCATCGTCGCCATCATGATCACAACTACCAGCATCGCAATCACGATCCGTATCATCATCAGCATCATCATCAGCATCATCATCAGCATCAGCAGCATCGTCATCATCAGCAGCAGCAGCAACATCATCATCGTCATCGTCATCATCATTGTCATCCACAACAGAAACAGCAGCTGAATGGCCGTCATCATCACCAGCATCAGCGGCATCAGCATCGTCATCGTCATCGACATCGTCATCGTCATCACCAAAAACACCGGCATCATTGGTGTGACCGTCGTCGTCAGCCGCATGATCACCAGCTTCGTCGAAATCACCATCATCAGCAGCAGCAGCATCACCTGCACCATCAAGACCACCAGCAACAGCATCGTCATCATCAACAGTATCATCCCCCTCATCAGCAGCATCCTCATCATGGGTGACGGAGCAGATCAAGCAGGACCCTACTTTGGCCTTCCAGGGTATGACTGGCTCTCTCTTCGAACGTTTCGCGTTGGGATGGGCTCCTCGCAGTGCCGCTCTACGGGATCCCGAACCACGCCGAGGCCCTGGATTTGCTGAGTGCAGGCATTTCTCAGCAACAACGACGTACCCAAGATGCACAGTCCCGAGAGTGGCGAAAACGTTTCGCCAGTTGGACTAAGGACACCTACAAGCTTGCCACACCGCTCTTCAGGGCGTCCTCGCCGACTGCCCCAGCGGATGCTGCGGAGATGCACCAGGAGTGTGAACAGCAATGGGCCCCAGATTCTGCGCAACACGATGCTGCTGGCCACTTTACTCGGTGGCAACAATGGGCCGCTGATGTTTCCTTCCCTCAGTCCACACAGGAGGAGCACTGGCTGCCGAGCTTTGAACAGTTTGACAACATCCTTGCGAAGTGTCATGCTGCTCCTGGGCTGGACGGATGGACGGCCACGGAGCTCAAGCTTTTACGACGCATCTTCCCTGAGATGGTATTGCACTTGCACGAGCTCTGGTGTGACACCAGCCGTGAGTGCGTTGACGCCCAGGGCATCCTGGACCAGGACACGTTGGATACGATTTGTCCTTAGCGTGTTGTGGGAATCCCCAAAAGTGAAGTTAAATTCCGTCCTATTTCAATGGTCTCAATCCTGGTCAGAGTTTGGTTATCGGCCGTGTCTGCTGGGATGCCACAGCCTCCAGAGAACCAGTTTGCAGCAGGGCGGCTTGCGACGAGCGTCGTCCACGCGATCAGCAGCTGGTTAAATTCATGTGAAGCCGGTGAGGCAAGTGCCGCGGTGGATCTCAGCCGAGCGTACGACAACATAGACCACGCCGTGGGAGCCCAAGCATGTTTATGTTCAGGTGCCCCGCCTACGGTGACGTTTACTGCTGTGGCGGCCTGGAGAGCCCCCAAATACTGCAGCGTCAACTCCTCTTTGGTGCCACCGATTTGGCCTACACGAGGGCTTCCTCAAGGCGACTCGGTGGCCCCTGCTACCATGATTGCGGCCTTGGTGCCGTGGCAACCGCCAGTTGGTTACTTTTATGGACGACAGGTCCCTCACGTCTTCCTCTTCCCAGGAGTTGGCCAGGGATTTGGACTATACGCAACGCTTTGCCATGGACGTCGGTTTCAAGGAGAACGCGCGGAAGCGTCAGTCGTGGGCTCGCTCGGACCAACCCCCTACGGCAGTGGAACACCTAGGGATCGTGGCGACTCCAGCGGGTGCGTCTACCCCAATCCAGCCTCGAGGAGGCTGGGACAAGCTTCATACAGCGATTCGCGTGCTTGGTACAGTACCTGGAGGTGCGGAGATCCGTACTCGGCTCGCTGTTGCGTACAATCGCCCGCTTTGGCTGTGGGCGTGCCACCTTGTGGCGCCGCCTCCCGTCTCGACCTGCAGAGCCCTGTACAAGTCGATTACCAGATCTACCAACCGCTGGTGGTGCTATGGACGCTGGTGGGCACAACACGTACACCTACATCCTCGCTTGTCGGGACCCCTGCATGCCTTCAAAGTCATCTCCCAGGAGCGCTTCGTGTGGTCGACCTTCCTGGAGAATGCGATGATCATGCATGCCCAGGTTCTGGGCCTTCGCTTTGTTGCTTACGCCGATCGCCGTGGTTGCTGCCTCGAGGTGAGCGACACTGATGATCACCGAGTGGTTCGGGTGCTGCAGGGTATTGCGGATGGCCAGAGGAGGTTCTGGACCCACAGACCCGACCACCCACGCCATGAGAAGAAGGTCGAACACTTGCTGCGCTGCGTTGCAAGGATCAGATGCTTGGCCGAAGTCAATGACAAACGTTTCAACGCCGAAGAGATCCTGGACGTGGTTAAGGATGCGGAGTCGAACCTCGTGTACAAGCGATTCTTCAAGCGTCTGAGAGAGGATGATCGCAAGCTGGTGCGGATCTTTCGTGCTGGAGCTGTGTCCTCCGAGACGCGCCGCTGCTCGGGGAAGGCGCGCCGACACTGTGGGGCAGCGTCTCCCTCGTTTCGCCACTACTGGGCCGAGTGCCCAACATACCGTTTCTCGCGAGCTGGCATTGCCAGAAGATACGGGTTACCCCTTCACTAGTGGTCTACGGCACCGAGGGTTCTCAGAAAGTCAGGGTGGATCTGCTACTCCGACTCCCAGAGCCCCACCGAACGTGCGATCAAGCTGACTGCCGCCGTCGAGATGGCGCTGGTCGTCCTGGGCACCGACATGGCTGAAAGGCTACATCCTCTTGACCACGAACTTCCTCAGGAGGTTCGTGATGCTGGGGTTTGATGTCATTCTCGAGTGGAACTACTCCAGAGTTCGGGTACTTCACATTCACCATCTTCTTCTCCGCATCATCATCATAAGCAGCGCCATCATTACTGGCCGAGACCATCATCATCATCAGCAGCAGCACCACCATCGTCAGTATAATGATCATCATCGGCATCGTCAGCGATCAGCAGCATCACCATCAGCAGCAGCAGCAGCACAATCCTCGTTATCGGCGTGGTCGCTATCGTCGTCAGCATCAGCAGTATCATCATCAGGCTCAGCATCAGTAGCATCATATCGACATCAGTATCATCATCATCATCATCATCATCATCAGCGGCATCATCAGCATCATCATCGACATGCTAACTTGTACGTTCATAACCAGCCTCCCCGACATATCCATCATCATTAGTAGCAGCATCCGCATCGGCATCAACCTCCTCATCGTCAGCACCAACACTTTTATCATCATCAACATCATCAGCATCAGCATCAGCATCATCATCAGCAGCATCCGCGGCAGCAGTATCATCACATGCATCATCATCAGCAGCAGCATCAGCATCCTCAACATCAGCAACAACAGCTGTATCAGATCATCAGCATCATCACCAGCATCACCATAGCATCAGAAGTATCCGCATCAAGAGTAGCATCAGCACCATCCTCAGTAGCATCATCCTCATCCACAGCATGATCATCTTCATCATCAGTCGCAGCAATCTCAGCACCAGTATCAACCTTCTCACCGTCAGAACCAGCATTGCTAACATCATCAACATCAGCATCGTCATCACTATCAGTAGCATCATCGGCATCAGCATCAGTATCATCGTAATCGGCGTCATCATCATCGTCGTCACAGTCATCAACAGCATCAACAACAGCAGCGTCGTGAATCATCATCACCATCAGCAGCATCATCGTCATCGTCATCGTCATAGACATCGTCATCGACATCGACATCCTCATCATTACGGGCACCAGCATCATCCACGTGGTCGTCGTCAGCAGCAGCAGCATCATCAGCTTCGTCAGCATCATCCTCATCAGCAGCAGCATCATCTGCACCATCACGCAGCATCACGAACACCAGAAACGGCTCAGCACCATCATCGCCGATAGACACCAGCATCAGCAGCACCACCACCACCACCATCACCACCGTCATCATCATCATCAACAACAACATCATCATCATCATCATCATCACCATCATCATCACCACCATCATCATCATCATCATCATCATCATCATCATCATCATCAGTGGCATGATCAGACATCGGCGGCATCGCCATCAGCAGCAGCAGCATCGCAATCATCATCGTCGGCGTGGTCGTTGTCGTCGGCATCATCATCATCACCATCATCATGAGGTCCAGCGTCAGCATTGTCATCACCATCACCATCATAATCGGCTGCATAACCATCATCAACAACATCAGCATCATCATCAGTATCAGCATCATCATCAACACCAGCATCGTCATCATCGGCATCATAATCAGTATCGTCATCATCAACATCATCACCATCTCAATCATCATTAGTAGTACCATCAACATCGGCATCATCATCACCATCATCCGCAGCATTAGCTCCATCAGCGTCATCATCAGGATTATCATCAGCGACATCCTCATAATCGTCAGGATCGTCCTCGTCATCAGCACCATCATCAGCAAAAGTATCACCATCAAGATCCTTATCAGCCGCAACACCATCAGCGTCAGCATCAGCATCAGCCTCCTCGTCGTCGACATCATCATCATCATCATCATCATCATCATCATCATCATCATCAACACCACAGTCATCATCATCATCATCATCATCACAATCATCATCATCATAATCATCATCATCGTCGTCGTTGTCGTCATAATCATCACCATCAATATCATCATCAGCAGCATCATCATCATCGTCGACGTCGTCATCATCATCGTCGTCGTCGTGATCATCATCACCACCACCATCACCATCATCATCACCAACAACAACAACGGCAACAGCAACAACAGCAGTCGCAAAAACAACAGCAACAACGACAACAGCAGCAGCATCAACATTAACAACAACAACAACAACAACGACAACAGCAGCAGCAACAACATCAACAACAACAGCAACAGCAACAACAACAACAACAGCAACAGCAACAACAACAACCACAACCACAACAACAACAACAACAACCACAACAACAACAACAACAACAACAACAATAACGACGGCAGCAGCAACAACAGCTGCAACAGCAGCAGCAACAGCAACAGCAGCCGCAGCCGCAGCCGCAGCAGCAGCAGCAACATGAGCGTCCATGCGCCTGGGCGCGGCACCTGCAGGCGCCTCCGGCGGGCTCGGGCCCGCAGGGCGGGCACGGCGAGAGACGGCTCAGACCACCTTCCGGGGGGGGGGGGGCTGACCTTAAAGTCGGGCCTGTCCCACCACAGGATGAATATTGAAAATAGTATTATATATATATATAAACAAAAAATAAAATAAAAAAAAAAAAAAAAAAAAAAAAAAAAAAAAAAAAAAAAAAAAAAAAAAAAAAAAAAAAAAAAAAAAAAAAAAAAAAAAAAAAAAAAAAAAAAAGTCTGTAGGGGGAGGCTGGCCTTAAGTCGGGCCTGTCCCCCTACAGGGGGATTTTTGGGGGACAAAATCAAAAATAGGCCAAAAATACTTTCAAATGCTCAAAAATGGTCAACAATATCCTCCCCCGACTATTTTTCTACTATTTTTTTATATTCCTCCTGTAGAGGGACAGGCCAGGCTGGCCAGGGAGATGGAAGAGAAGGGTCGAGTGGGAGGGAGCGGGAGGGAGAGAATGGCTGAGGTGACCGAAGAGCAGACCTCGCTGGCAGCGGCAGCGGAGCCGAGACGGCCCGACGGCGCCAGCCTGAGTGTGTGTGTGTGTGGACTCGCGCGTCAGGTTTCGGGCTATCGTCTTGACCTGCGGTATGGGAGGATGCGAGGGTGCTCCTCTTGGCGGCACGGACGTTCCAGCCAGAGGGAAATCCAGCCCCGTCGTAATCAAATGGAAGGGAAGCCCCTTCCCTTTGCTCCCTCCCCCGCAAGAAGGGGTCCTGGGGGGAGGTCCCAGGTCGTGTTGTACTCCCTCCCCGCCCACCGTTCATAGGCCCTCGTCCTCAAACGTTCCAGCCGGAGGGAAATTCAACAACGTCACAATCGAGTCAAAGGGAAGCCCCTTCCCTTTTCATCCCTCCCCCGCCAAGGGGGGGCTCTCGGGTCAGAAGGAACTCCCTCCCCGTTGAGGGGGGCGGTCACGGATCCTCGCACTGACTTGCGAGAAATGTCATAGACATGTTGTACTTCAACGTGAACACTTTTGCATTTGCGGCGATACGGGGGAAAAGGGGGGAGCGGGGAGGGGCGTAACGTAACGCCCCCGCCCCCCACCGTGACAGACTGGTGTCGGGCGCACTGCGGCAATGCTGGGGACGCACTGGGGGGAAGAGCGTTATGGTATGGGGGGGTGGGGGGCATGACGCAAGTTATGGTCCGGAAGGTAGAAAAACAATCAAAATCAAAGAGAAGCTCCTCCCTTCGTCCATCTCCCGCCAGAGGGAGGGGTCCGGGCAAGAATGCGATCCCTACGTGGGAGGGGCCACAACCCCCGAGACCCCCCCAGGACCCCCCCCCTGGGGGGGAGTACTCATCCCACGAGGCTCCCGAGAGAGGGGGGGGAACACCGACCGACCTTCCGAGCCTTCCGCCCCAAGAAGCTTCCAGGAGGCCCCAAGAGGCGCACAAGAAGCCCCCCAAGAGGCTCACAAGACACCCCAGAGAGCCCCAAGGGCACTCCTATGGCAACCCCAAAGGGATAAACTCCATGATTTCCTTAAGTTTTGAATGCGTTTCGTCTTCGCCGCCGCCGCGGCCGCCGCCGCCGCCACCGTCGCCGCGGCTGCCGTCGCCGCCGACGCCGTCGTCGTCGTCATCGTTGTCGTCGTCGTCGTTCCCCTTCAGGGTCGGCGGCACCGGTCGTAAGGCCTTCGCAAGTGTGGGGAGGACTCGAGCGGGAACTCTTCTCGTCGCAGCTGGGTCTTCACCAACTTGATAGGCTTGCGAGGAAGTCTTGAGCGAGAGCGCCGTTCCTGAGTTGGGGGGCCTCTCTGGCCAGGGCGTCGTAAAGCAAATTAAGAAAAACAAGTCAATCGAGAGCCGTTGTCGTCGTACACATTTGGAGCGAAACCCGCGCTCGAGCGGGAGCGTCGCTTTTAGAAAAAATGTAGCCAGCGTCGAGGCGAGAGCGTCCGGAACAACCCCCATGGATCAGCAATAGTGATCCCCTGAAGTAGGAATGTTCGACGACGACAACGACGACGACGATGACGACGACGACGACGCCGACGATGACAACGCGGACGATGACGAGGACGATAATGGAATCAAAGAGACGGGAGGACGAGGAGCAGCGGCAGCACCAGCAATCAGCACGAAGCGGGGGAGCAGCGGCAGACAGACACCTCGCGCAGGCCAGGGGACCACGAGCCACGACTTGCCCCGTGCTCGGAGCCGTAGCCAAGGCTGCCACTAGCAGCCCAGACCATCATAACGTTCGCCGCGTCGCACCCCCCGAGCTGAACCGCGGAATCGGCCAAGGCAGGCCCAATCCCTGCGAGGCAGCCGACCAGCTTGCAGTCTCTGCCAGGCAGTCGACCAGCTTGCGCATGATGCGCCACTGCCAGACATCTCCCGTTCAGGGCCCCAGCCTTCCCACGAGAGATGGCGTAGCAGGACCGACAACTGAACTCGGTGGAGCAGGCAGGGATCACGGGCGTCCCCCACGCATTGCAAAGGAACCTTCAGAAGCCCGTGCTTTCTGCGGTGTCCGTACCTTCACAGCGGGAACAGCGCGAGCATGGCGAGCATCTGCTTCGCCGCGCCAGCTCCTGCACTGGGCCAACGGCTTCCCCCCCCCCGCGCGCCCGAAGCCGACCCGAGAGCGCGGCCGCCCCCCCCCCTCTGCCGCCGCCGGGACGCCCCGCTGCCGAGGGTGCCGCCGCCTCCGGCGGCAACGCCGCCGAAGCCGCGACCGAGCCGCGGCCGCAGCGCCCCAGTCCGCCGCGGGGGCGGCTTGGCGAGCGGGGGCAGACGCGCGCCGTCCGACCCCCTCCGCCGCTCCAAGCGCGCCGCGCGGTCGGACGAGGGGAGACGGGGAAGGAGGAGGAGGAGGAGGAGGAGGAAGAGGAGGAGGGAAGAGGAGGAGGAGGAGGGAAGAGGAAGGTGACGACGACGACGACGACGACGACGACGACGACGACGACTATCACGACGAAGATAGGGAGAGCAGAGAGGGAGTACGACCACGGCGAGGAGCGCGGCTGGCGAGGCCGGGGTAGCATATTTTGCCCCCTGGCCGCCTTTCCGCCTCCGCTGCTCCCAGATGGCGCCGAACCCGCGGAGCCGCCAACGGGCATGCCCATCGCGACGCCGTCCTGAGTTGAATATCCTTCTCTGCCTCCTCCTCCCCCTGCTCCTTCTCCTCCTCCTCCTCCTCCTCCTCGTCATCAGCATCATCATCATCATCATCATCATCACCATCATCATCATCAGCATCATCATCATGAGCATCATCAGCATCATCACCACCACCACATCATCATCATCATCATCATCACCACCACCACCATCATCATCATCAACATCATCATCATCCTCATCATAATCATCATCATCCGCGGCCTCCACTCCTCCTCCTTATCACTAACTCCTCCCTGTCGCACCCCGAGGCCGTTCGAAAGGGCGGGCCGAGCGTTTCACCTAAGACTTCCTCACCATTCATGAGCCTACAGCTTAAAAGATGACAATCGTTTCACACGTGGAGGGCGGGTGGTTTTTTAAATGTAGCTCTCGCCTTAGTGCCGCTCATATTCGTTTAAAAAATTGCAAACGCTTCACGTATTGAGGGCGGGGAGGGTTTCAAAATTTGGCTCTGGCCTGAGCGCCGCGCACATTCGTCTTAAACATTGACAAGAGCTTCACGGATTGAGGGCGGGTCGTTTTCAAAATGTGGCTCTCGCCAAAGCACAGTGCACATTCGTGTCAAAAAATGCTAGAGTTTCACGGATTGAGGGCGGGTGGCTTTCAAAATGAGGCTCTGGCCTTAGCGCAGCGCACACTGGTCTTAAACATGTGCAAAGGTTTGTCGGATTCACATGGGTAACGTACCAGGAATGACTGGTGTTTTGCCAGGGCGCAGCAGCTATGCTGATTCGGGGCGCTAGTCCCAGGAATGGTGTTCGGGCACGGTGCAGGATCGTCAAGGCGCAAAAGTCATGCTGAGTCTTGGCATTGGAGTCCAGAAAATGGTGTTTTGGTACAGTTCGGGATCTTCAAGAAATTGTCTCCCAATGGAGCAGTTCCCTCGGTGGAAATGAACCCTTGTAGGTGCCTATGAAGATGGAGTTTGGAAGGAGGGTCTACTCCAATATCGTTGATGAGTCTTGGGGTTTCGCGGGTCCTCCTCCCTCCTCATCCTCCTCCTCCTCCTCCTCCTCCTCCTCCTCCTCCTCTTCCTCCTCCTCCTATTCCTGCTGTTCCTCGCCCTCGTCATCACCACCACCAGTATCACCACCACTACCACCGCCATCATCATAACATCATCAGCATCATCGGCATCACCACCACCATCGTCATCATCTTCTTCATCCTCATGTTCCTCCTCATCATCCTCATCATCATCAACCACATCATCATCATCATCATCATCATCATCATCATCATCATCATCATCATCATCATCATCATCATCATCATCATCATCATCATCATCATCATCATCATCATCATTATCATCTCATCATCATCTCATCATCATCATCATCATCATCATCGTCATCATCATCAGCGTCATCATCATCATCATTATCAGCGTCGTCATCATCATCATCAACATCAGCATCATCAGCATCAGCATCAGCATCAGCATCATCATCACCACCGCCAGCAGCATCATCATCACCACCGACAGCAGCAGCATTATCATCAGCATCATCATCATCAGCAGCATTAGCATCAGCATCACCAACATCATATTCCATCCCCAACATCTCAATCATCACCGAAACCTTCACACGCCTCATCCTCATCATCATCAGCAGCATCGTCATCATCATCATCATCATCATCATCGTCATCATCATCAGCATCACCATCATCATCCTTATCATCACCAGCATCGCCATAATCATAATCATCGTCGGCGTCATCATCAGCATCATCAGCATGGTCACCACCACCACCACCACCATCATACGCGTTAACACAAGCAGTATCATCATCATACCAGCATTTTATCATCGGCAGCAGCAGCACCATCATGATCATCACCACCACCATCAGCCGCGTCATCAGCAGCATCATCATCAGCAGCAACCGTACCACCACTATCACCGCGGTCACTCATCATCCTTCCGTTTCCGCCATCACTCTCCACCTCTCCCGCCTCCCCCCCTCCACCTGTTACCACCACTAAAGACTCTAAAGACTCAACTTGTTCGCCCTGCTCCGCCGCCGCTCCCATCCGCACGCTCCTCCTCATCATCAACCTCCTCTTCCCCCCCCTCCTCCTCCACATCACAAACCCTTCCTCCTCTTTCCCCTCCCCATTCAACCTTCCCCTCCTCCTCCTCCTGACCTTCCTCGTCCACATCACCACCACCACCACCGCAACCATCACTACCACCACTATTGTCATCAACAACACCACAGCTCCCGTCGGCGTCACTTCTGGACGGGGTGGTGTAGGGATACGCGACGCACCAACAGATGTGTCAACATCTGGGCAATGTCACACTGTACGGACGCCCGTCAGCTCCAGATGGCCCTACAAGCCCCCACGATGGCACCAGGACGACCCAAGATCCCAAAGTGGACGAAGCGTCCTCCGAAAAACAGACCAGCGACCAAATGGGCTAGACGGCCCAGGATGGCCCCAAGAGAGCTGCAACCTGGCCCAAGCAGGCCACTGGAGTGGCCCGAGGTCGCGCTAGAGGGCCCCAAAACGGCCCAAAGTGGCCCCAAAAGACCGAGGAGGACGACGAGGCCGAGAAAAGACACCCCGATACGACGCTCAAGAGTGTCCATACTTCCTCCACCACCACCTTTCCCTCCTCCTCCTCATCATCTTCCTCCTCCACGATGAGGAAGACTGAGACGAGCAGGCAAGGAGGGGGAACAAGAAGTCTCTGGAAGTGTCCCTGGAGGCTCCTGGGCTTCTCTGGACACCTACAAATCCCCCGAGTCCCCCAGTAAACTTTCGCGAACGCCACTGGGCCTTCTCCTCATCCCCCTCCTCAGCCCACTCCCCCTGTGTCGGCAGAGCGGGCCAGGCGTTTCGCATGAGGCTTCCTCATTATTTATGACCATCAAGCTTGAACCTTGCAGTGGTTTTCAATATGTGGCTCTCGCCTAACTCTGTAATTATTGAACCAGTTACAAGGATGGAGCACACTCTGGCTCTCGCCTTAGCGCCGCGCACATTCGTCGTAAAGTTTGCAGCCGCTTCAAAAATGGAGAGCGGTTACTTTGCAAATGTGGATTCCGGTTTAACGCCGCACACATTCGTCGTATGTCAGCCATTGGACCCACAGCAGTAACTTCGTGCGCTGAGGGGGTGCAAGCTATGCGATGTAAGCTGTGTGGTGCAGGCTATGTCGTGTGAGCTATGCGATGTGACATGCGAAGGTGACAGCCACATGGTGTACCGTATGTGGTGTGAGCTGGAGGTGGAAGCTATGCCATGTCAACTGTGGTGTAAGCATGTTGTGGAATTTGTGCCGTGCAAGCTATGTGGTGCAAGCTATGTTGTGTAAGCTATGGGGCACCAGCAGCGTGGTGCGAGCTCAGCGCACGGGGCGCCAACAGAGGTGGCACGTGCGGCACTGTGCCGCAACCACACCCGCTCCACCCAGCGCACCGGGGCGCCCACGAGCGCCCACGGGGCGGCCCAGGCGGCAACGCGGCGCGACCTCGGCGGGCCCACCCAGCGCACGAGGCGCCCACGAGCGCCCACGGGGGCGGCACGGGGGCGGCAACGCCGAAGATCCTCAACGAACCCGTCCAACTACTTCAGGGACACAACTGCGACCCCCCCAGTGCAAGCACTGCTTGTGGGGAAATATTGCAGCAAATGCAAGGACAGATTGCGGTTTTCGAACTGTGACTCTCGCCTTCGCAACGCGCACATTCGCCCCAAACAGCTTCCACGATGGAGCACAAGTCGTTGTCAACGTGCCTCTCTTGCACCAGCGCCGCACACATTCGCGTTTGAAGTCTGCAACGGTTTCAAACATAAACGGGACTCCCGTCGATGTTTGAAACCGTTGCAGAAA